GAACAGGTTTTAAACCCAGGGCATCCAGCGAATTTATCCGTGGAATACCCCAGAAACAACCGGTAGCTTTCTAAAGCAAAATATCCACACTATAACCAAACAAGTTGTAGAAAAAGACATTATTTTCGTTTGTGCCCTCGGGTAAAAACAGTATAATTGGTAAAATCATTAACTTTTTCCCATTTTAATCATTCAGTATTCCTTATATGTCGGCTGTTTGTCAATTTCACAGCATTTTTTTATTTTCCCTGCCTTGTGGCCAGAGAAAATAAGAAAACTTTCGACTTCACACAATATATCTCATCGATTTGTGTTAATTAAATGTGTTCCACTGAATTATCGTGAGCGTTTTTTACCGGATACACTTCACGTAAGATTGATGTTTCGTCCAGGTGGTCATTCTTTTGGGTGATTGATAAAGTAACTTTTGCGTGTGTCAATTATACTTAGTTTGGGAAAAAGCTGATTATAGGTCGTGCAAACAAACTGCAGTACAGTACACGGTAAAATCACTTGGAAATTGGTAATTGATCAGTTGGCTGTTGATTTGTTCGCCGAGCTTGGCAATTGATTTGCAAACGTTTCATCACCATTCGAGGAGACATCTTCAGTGCGTTGTTGGTTGGGGACAGCGCAATGAAGATGTCTCCTCGAATGGTGATGAAACGTTTGCAAATCAATTGCCAAGCTCGGCGAACAGATCAACAGTCACCTGATCAACTACCAACTAATACACCCGATCTACCAATATTCCACCACATTATCACTTGGAAATTATTGATTATTCGTTTTTCTGGCAAGAAAACGCCTCTCATCCTTCTTTACGGGCTGCCGACGGGCAACTGCAAATCTGGTCGCGTCCTTTCACGTTGTGTGTTGCAATGTGACATGAAGCGAAACAAATTTTGCACAATAACTAACATTTTTCTGGAAAAGAGCAATTACAAACAATCATTTTGGTATTTTTTTGCTTGTGGCCGCATACATTTAAAGCGATTTCAAATTTTTACCCTATTGGAGCTGTTTTCATTGAGATGAAGAATCCATCTATTGGGTAGTGGCTATGTTTGCACCTGCACCAGAAACTTGTCTTAATCGTTCTGCACTAATTTCGATCGAACACTTTTAATAATGTTTCACATGGGAAGAAAATATTTTTGGTCACATCAATGTTAAGACTTAAAGAATCGTGGACTCAGTAAAGCCTCCTCAGAGTCTTTATTATAATGTGTAGCAGAAGGCTGTAGCAACAGAAGATAAAAGAGACGACTTTTACGGAACCACTTTGCTAACTACTCCTTGGCGGCCTTTGGGCTTTGCATTATACCAAACGATTTTCCAAATTTTTTGTCCCGAAAATAAATCAGAAAGAAAACAGACATCCACAGTTTCATTTGCGCTAATTTAATGAGGCACAAACACGGTTGAAATAAGTTGGGGGCACATGTGACTTTCATGCAACCACTCCATACATGTTTGTCAGATAGTTGAGTTGGTGTGGCAAAAAGTATGTGCACAATATGATTCAGAATCTTAGATGGTTGTAGAGTTTCGGCAGTTAGCCTAACGATGATTTCGAGGTGGAAAACTAAATTTCTGGTAGTGGTTAACCAGCTGGTTACAGTCCTTCTTCTATCCAGTTGGTAATTGGCTTGCAAGCCTCTCGACGCTGATTGACGAGACATAATTAGTGTGCAGCCACCGGTGCACTAATCTTTTCTCCTGAACGTGTGACGAAACAGGGGTGAGCTGATTGCCAGGCTAGGCGCATAGATCAACAGCGAGGTTATAAAAAACTAGGAAGCACACCAAAGCCAACAATTATTCGATAAGTTCCCAAGATATTTAAAGCCTCGACGAAGTAATTTTAAATGTATCCAGCTGGAAAGTGCTGTTTTTCAAAGCTGATAATCAGATTTCTTGAAGTTGTATAGTTTTCCAGTTTGTAGATCCCACTCTTACCGAAACTAACGCAAAAATAATGTAATAAACAGTAGGTTCCTTGAGTGATATTAGATAAAGCCGCATTTTTTTTAGCGTACAAAGTAGGCCCAAACTATAAAATACTGCCAAATATCCTCATCAGACTAGTCTGAACATGGCTTTCCCGCAAGGATCTTTGTCTCTGTGGTCCGAATAACTCTTCTGACACCATGACAACGCGTCACTTAACTAAGTACATTGACTTAGCTAATAAGAAGTCCTTTCGTTCAACTGTTTACAAAATGTTTGATTGTCAGCCTGTTAAAAGAGGAGACGATTCACATATTTGTTAAGTAATGTCAGAGACTAATTAACTCATGCAGTAAGCCAAGCGTTGAGCTTTTCTTGAATAAACTTTGAATTTCCAGAAATATTCAAATTTTTTACTGAAACGGGTATTCCGGAAGGAAGGTTGTTTATATTCTCTCAAACCACCAGCCAAAGGGCGAACATGTAAATACATACATACATACATACATACATACATACATACATACATACATACATACATACATACATACATACATACATACATACATACATACATACATACATACATACATACATACATACATACATACATACATACATACATACATACATACTTACATACATACATACATACATACATACTTACATACATACATACATACATACATACAAATACATACATAAATACATATAAATATATAAACTGAATAATCAAGCTGCGAAAACACTTCATAAAAATTAAATTTTGTTATTTCGCATAATATAATAGATTTTATTGTTCCCATTACAATTTAAGTGAGTGAGACTACCTTTGTTAGTTTCTGTCTCTCAACGGAACTTAGATTAAATGTGCAACTGCCGTTCAGGTTTTGATCAGAAAAGACCAATTATTCCGTTCAATATTGTTTAACCACCGCTCTTGCCTTTAAAGGAACTTTTCGGGGTCGAGTAACTCGAGAACTGCACAGGTTTGGATTTGTTTCCCCCAGAGTTCTTAGGAAGTAGACATTAACTACTACGTTGTATAGAACCTTACTATATTTTTAAAACGTCTCTGTTTTTTCAACCGCAACTCTCCCCCGACACAACCGACTCACATCTAATTATCAACCTCCCAAGAGGTTTTCAAAATTTTGAGTTCTGATAATACTGAAAAAACTTCGCAATTTCTCCTGACTTCTCGGTCAACACTTGCTGGACAAAATTTGACGTCACTTCTTACTGGTTACAAAATTTTAAATTAGTGCCGGCAATAGAATCTTTGCATTTATTTTTTGCCCAAGATAAATGATCTTGAGTTTCCTGACGATAAGGTTTTGTCCAGAAGAGTTACGTTAGTTTTTGTTTACTCCCAGTGCTGTTCCGTGCTCGTTCTGGTCTCGCAGTGCTATGGAACAAACTGTCAGTTTTGACAAGACCCAAGTTGACGCGCTCGATCAATGTGTATTTTGAACCAGAAGACAAAAATATTTCTATATCGGTTCTCTTCCCATGCACTAGACATATATCAAAACCTTTGGATATTTAGTTAAAAAGACGGACGGAAAATTTTCCCTGCGTCCGGATGGTGATAATAATGACTCTGATAATAACAAATTTACCTCCTCAAGTTATGAAGACGAGGACTGAAATTTTTTCGAATGGGGTCCACCTATTGACTAGCCATTAACAACGTTGCAATCATGGACATACCCCACCCAGAGATGACGACTGTTCGATACTCGAAAAGTCCTTCGAAATGTGGCTTACCTCTATCAGCTTCAATACTATGGTGATTATTCTCGAAAACGTTGTCATTTCGAACCTTATTAAGTGAGCGTTAATCACATTACTGATCCGCGACCGAACGGTTGTTTAAACTACTAGCTGGGAGGCTGCGGGTTCAAAACTTTTTTCAAATGTTTCGTGGGATATTCACTACTGGTGATTCTTGACAAAGTTGGAACAGCTCTACAGTGTCCTCGGTTTTTCTTATACAGATAAGCTTAAGTTACAAAACAAAATCCGAATTGAAAACCTCAAAATTGAATTCAAACTTACTATGATGGCTTCTCAGTTTGTCGGATTTGATGGTCGTTACTTCTTACTGAATACTTTCAGGAAAATTCCGTTCAAAAATACATCCGTTTTTAGTTCTTGCAAACTGCACAATGGCATAGTCCAAAATAGTGGTGCTTTTGCTGGTGCGTGTTCAATTCAAGTGAAGGGCAAGTAGGCGTGAGTAGGCAACGATTGTGCACAGACACGAAATTTGATACTATTGGGCAGCACGTAGTGCTGATTTTAAGATCGTGTGATTCGCGTCAAACGAATGCGTGCGCTGTCGTTCATACTGGTCTTCATTCAGCATACTTTATGAAACGGGATTTTCGTTGCGGCAGTTCACCTTGACCGCTAACACTTCAATTTATTCAGTGAACACCAAAACACTTGACTTGTGGATATCGGACAAATCTAAGTCAGTTGATGGAACATTCTAGAAATTAAGTGAAATATTTTCAGCCACAGTAAAGACTACTAAAGCGTCTTCCGAAATATTGAGATGATTTATCAGACACTTTCCGTTACCGTTCATGAAATCAGGTAAGGTCGCGTCTAATCAGTATACATCTTGACTGCTGAGTTTGGTTACCGATATTTTGAGTCTTTATTCATACAGAAAACACGCACACAAAATTCACGACAGACAGTTAATGACGGCCTTATTTAATATTCCAATCGAATGATTGAAGTAAGTTTGACTTCGAGAGACAGAACAATTTATATTCTTAAGAAGGTATGAGGTAAATAATAATGTTTGATCACGCTGCCGCCAGTGAAAATTCTACATATCATGGTTTATCTACGACGTCTCCACACTGTGCACTCAAGAGTCTGATAGGGTTGTTAGAAAAGTTCAAACCTCTTGATTTCCTGATCTGATTCGTCAAGCTTACCCAAATGAGATAAATCTACCAATACGTCCTATTTCTAAATAAACTGAAAATCTTTCCAAAATACCGGTTTGGTTTTAGTGGGAGACTCACCTATAACCCAGCTGAATCTCGCGTTCGTCCTGTTTTTGAACAACTAAATGTTTTGTACTCGGCCGCTCCATTTTTAACGTGGCACGATATTTGAGGTATCACGCTACATTGTACGGATGCAGGTTGTTACTCATAAGGTTACTGCAGACTCTTCGACAGCCTACGAGCGGTTCCGACTTTTGGGGGGCTCATTAGGAAGGTTCAGTCCCCGATTGTACAAAATTAGCATCATGCACTTAGTTGTGTATCATTTTGGTTCTGATAAGAAACTTATCTGGAAGCCACCTGAATCACGTTTTTATGCTGCCTTTGGGCATAATTTAAACATCATTCCCTCTCCCGAATTCGTACGATAAAAGTCTTAGAACCAAGCATTTGTTTGCGTCGCTTTTTTTCTAGTAATTATGAAGCGAGTCAGCTTCGGTTGCAAACGTCTCTCATTAAGCCGAACCCCGTTCATCACACATGTTTTGTTGATTCAACTTAACTTCAATTGTTTTCGGAACCAGGGTTAGATGAATGAGGTTTTTTATGCCTTTTTGTTGTAACCAACAGTACGTAGGCCTATGCGATAAATCGCGCAGGAAGAGCCGGAGGACTGGTGCAACCTTTGGGAGCGGGCTTATTGGTTGTTGATCAGGTGTTTGTTGATACGCTCACCGAACTTCACAATGAATTCACAAACGATTTATCACCTAATGAAAAGACAGCATCACTGTGCACTGATAATGCCTTCTTGTTTACTGGAGAAACGTTTGCAATTTGACTGCCAAGTTCGGTAGACGGACCGAGAATCAACAGGCACACCCGAGCTACCAAGCTTATTCGACTCAGTAATTTCAGCAATGCTGACTAAGCAAATAAATTTCAGATATACTCAAACAATTGGATTAATAAGCAAAACAAAATTTTAAGACACTTATGCTTAATACAACTAAATAATTTTGAAGAGGACTGCTTATAAAAGAAAACTGTTACCATAAACTAATCATATTATGAATTTTAGAGCTTCATTGTGCCTACCGTCTTATTTAATTCTCAATAACCTACGAATAGTCAGCTAAGAAATTGGCATGTTGATTGTAGGCTAATTTGTTTCATACATGTACACAAACGTTGGCGACAAGATTTCTGAATGAAAACGACGTTCAAAAATCATGATAACAGTACGTTTTTAAGGAGTTTTTAACCATAAAATTCTGCAGAACTTTATTCTCGGAGACTGTAAAATTACTTTTCTTATGCGGTTGAAGTAAATGTATGCTAAAAAGCCGGGGAGCACGTTATATCTGTTGCATTCATCAACATTGCTGATCTCAGAAAAATCCGAATCACGAAACGGCGACCTTACGGCCATGGCTGAACACAAACTTTTGACCACGAGTGGCTGATCATTAGCGTGATTAACTCTCATTTAGTCAGGACAGCGATGCTCATCCTTCGGCCATGCATCCCACATTATGTGATCACGTACCGTCTGGTTTCACAAGTGACAACTCTCACACATGCAGTGAAATTAGCCTTGCTCCGAGCCCGTTGTTTTACCTCTGACAAAAGGGTTTTGATTTTAATTTGCATTCAATTTTCCTCCTTTCCTTACATTTAAATATCTGGGTTAAAATTTCTGAAAATATTAAGAGACCCCAGCATTTGAATAATAATATTGGTGTTATTTTCATGAAAGTCGTCCCGCTAATTCCCGAAGTAGATGTACAAAAATGAAGTCAGTGCATTCTCCCACAGCCACACCTTTCTCTGTAAGCTGCAACCATACGAGAAAGGTCATACTCTGTTCACTTGTTTCAGATACCCAGAAGACGGGTGGACCACGATCTGTAAGAACAATACCGCTAAACCAGTTGACAATTTTTTTACTGAACAGTAACAAAACCTTCAACAATCGACTGCCGGGTTTAGCGAACATGTCAACTTCAAATGAATTTACCCGAGTTACCAACCGTGTCATGGTCCTTTTACTGTGCCAACAAAAGTAGAACAAACTCGAGGAAATAAGGTTCGGCATTTCCTTAGAGGAAATAGATTGATTTCCAATGTTTGGTGGGTATGAGTTACCTCAGGATGAAACAAAATGTAAGAGAATTGTCAAACGACAGTGGATGCTTAATATGTAGGAATCAAGGACAACATGGAGGTGTTTATCTTTGAATTCCTGACGGCCTGTGTTTTAAATTAAACGCCCGATTCTGTTTTTCATCAAGTTTACTGACCCGAACCTGCAAGCGCAATGATGATTTATTTTGTTCACTTAGTCATCCTTTGTTTACACTGTGTGCGCTCTCTTGAGCTTGCCATCCGAAGTTGTTCACCAATAGACGACTGACCAGCTGCGTGCGAACTTGTTACCTTTTTCACTAAGGTCACCTGCCACCGAGCACAACCAAACAAGGGGTCGGTAAACACCCTTGTTCACCTGAATAACCAGGGCCTAATTTCCTCCATCTTTTTTACCTAACCATTCAGTAACTCTCTTTGTATGCTCGTGTTTCTGCCTTTCCCCATTTTGTTTGTTCACCGAGTTCTGGGCATAATCTTTCTTCATACATAGCTGTCTAAGAAACAGCTTTCTACTGTCCAGTTAGGTGGAAGTTTGCCTTCGTTTAACCCGGAACAGCAGTCCTGTACATTGAAATTGCATCTTCTCCGAAGCACAGGCGTTCGGAGAAATGCCTATACCGAACTTCGTTCTGGTAATTATTCCCCTCGCACGTCTGCGTTTATTCGATATCGTCGAAAAAGTTATTAGGAGAACAGTATGTGCCGAACAGTCGTGTTTCTGACAGAACTTGTCGGCTGAAATACGGTCACTTCTATAACTTCATAGTTCACAAATTACTACCACCAGTTTTAGTGTTCTCACAACAGAACCAAATCTTCCAAATGGATAATCACCTCTTAAAATTTGCGAAACAACAGCAGTATACATAGCTGAGCAGCGTTTTCACCAAGTTTGTTTATAACCCTCAAGTGGCACACATATAATAAATAAACCACTTTGTCACAATGCCAAAATCATGTTTCACCTCATATGCCAAGGACATAAATGAGATTAAGGAGCGTTTAGCTGTGGAACTCGTGTTACCACCCCGGGTACCGTATATGTGACTGTTTGATCCTTTTCATATTTAAGCAGTACGTCCAGGTCCTAGAACCAATCGGGCTTCACCCATCGATGTCCAGCTTCCCCCGCTTTATTTGCCTTAGTATTTACCATCAGGATATTCAGAATTACTCTATGACGTTTTCGTTTGGCGGTTATAAATACAGAAAAAGTTCCAGCCCATAGTACTGATTGTATTCACCGCCGAAACCAATCTGCCTTCCAACCTGTTGATCTTGGCGTCTCCATTAGTCCAAAATTTTACTTGAGAGACCGTTGAATAATAAAACTGGATCGATTTGGATGCAAGCATAAAAAGGAGCCATAGGACAAACCCAGCCTTTTACGGAAGATATGAACCATCACCCTGTAAGTCAAGATTAACAACTTGATTCAAAAACAGGCTTTAATCAACCTCAGAAAGTAACATCTTGGAACACTGGCAACCGGAGAGTTACTCCTGACTACATCAATGCAACCTCCAATACGACGTCTGGTTATGACGTCTGCTCATGAATTTGTTCCTCAGTACCATTGTTTTCCCTCCGTTTTTTAGCACATTATTTTAATATACTACTGAATAAAACGTTGGATGACCTAGAGCATTTATTCTTAAGAGACCAAACCAGGAGAGAGAAAGGGAGAAGTACTAAAGTCTTGCGTTAACGTTAACCGGTTCAACGAGTGAGAGAAATTACTAAATTCCTTGGTAATGTTACTTTGCAACAGAAAGTGAGTTATATTTTATCACTATTTTTAAAGCCAGATATTACAACAGTTTGGTTCTGTACCCTTTGATTGACACTGGAATGGTCCCCAAAAAAACGATAAAACCACTCTCTTTTGTGTTTTGCATGTTGTGGACATCAGACACTTATGTGTCAGTCAGACCGGAATTCCCTCTATCTCACCATCATTGCCTGTCATTCGACCTCAATTCACAGCACACACTCAAGCTTCTTCTTGAAAAAAAAACAAAATTTACAAAACGCAACACTCAAGCTTCTGCCTGAAAAAAAAACAAAATTTACATCCAAAACGCAACACTTAGGGAGCACGTTGAGTGATGGGAGTACATGGCCAAAAACGTTGTTGATTGTGCCCTGATTCGACTCCGTTTCCCGTTTGGTTTCATCCAAGGTTCGCAGGGACATTAGAGTAGTTCGACAAAAGCCTTCGCAAACTTCGGTGCGTGTCACTGGGTAAACTGGAGCGGTTGACCAGAGGTTTGGTTCGTCAATATTTGTGTCAAAGACTTCACCGGCCTTATTAATTAAAAATTCGGTTTCGAACTTGCTGAGACATAGGCCGACGGTTGAGCAGCAGTTGAGTTTAGTTAGAAACCCAAACATCAGATTGCATGGACCAAGTCGCGGAATTCAGACTTTCCAGACAAGGTTAGCTAAACCAGGATGGCTGAGACGGAAGTCATCCAGCTGACATTTGATTGTGGAGGCCTGAAGGCATCAGGACAGATTCAGTGGTTATCAGCCCATACGCCTGGTCTCACGAACTACACTAATTAACTAGATTTCCCTTGTGGCCTCCTGAGCGCTGTAAATTATCGCATCACATCGGATGTTTCGAAGAAGCAAGTGACTCACTACGTAGTCTTTTGATTATTCTGAAGCAAACAGTGATGTAAACAAACAAATCCGTTTCCTAAGCAAGTGAATCTCTAAATTATTGCACAAGGCCAAAAAGTCATACAATTCTACCTAATCTACGTAAGTGTTTTTCTTCCAAAACGATTTGAGAAGAACGTGTAGTGCTCAGAAGCCACTAGAGCCAAAAGAATCTTGTTTTCGAGGACGACGTAGAATGTTAATTGGGACCATTGTCACACTGTGACAGCCAAGAAGCGTCATACCATGTTTTTAGTCAGAACTTATCGAGCAAAGGCAGGACAGAGAATGGAAGAAGTGTACGATAGACGCATATCGGCAGTTTGTA